ACAGATTTGGCTAATTATACAGTGAATAAAAAATGATTTCTTATATATATAGATACATATAATGGTTCTGGATGTCAAGGCTTTATCTTGCAACATCTGCAAATTAGTCAAAAATTCTTCCAAATGTTTAAAAATACCCACTATAGCACAGAAAGGATATCCCTGAAAAAGAGGAGTAAGAACAGTTACAGAAAGATCATTTGCATAAAACAATGCCCTACACTAGCATACAGAGTTTCTGATAATCTCTTGGTTTGTTGAGGCTTATGAGAATCATTTTCTCAAATCACCTGGCAGCAAAAGTGACCTAAGACTTTTATTATTGGTATATTTTATTATTGGTTTTACTTCCATAACATGATATCCTCCATTAGAACACACTTGTGGATATATCTGATATTTATATCATCTATGCAAATTATTTCTGCTGTATGCACTACAGACTTTGCAAAACTGGTACCAGAGGGCACATTCTAAAAATGAATAAATTAAATAGTTCCTGTGGGCATAGGAATATTCTATAAAATGGCATAATTTTGCCCAATTTGATAGTGTCAGGATCAGAACAGATTACAGTGACATCATCAAATAATGAAATGTAATTTTTTAGCACAATTAGCCGATAAAGAAGCAACCCAAAAACTAGGATAGTTACTTCATTCTTGATAATTAAAGTATCATACCTGCACATTTATCAGTGTTAAATAAACATGAAATACTGCAGATGCTTTTCTAATCTAAGCCTCTGAGACAACAGAGTCTGTGGTTGTACCCTTAAATGAGGGATGCCAGCCACGTGGTAGAATAACCTCTAAATTCATTAATAGAGTAGCAATTTCAGTTGCATTATTAATGCATCAGCAAATTGCCAAATACTGGGCAATGATTTTGATCAAAGGTATACAAAACTGAAATTTTGAACAGTATTTTTTATTGGATATATCTCCTTTTCAAAGATAGTGTTGTGGCAATGAGTTCTTCTTTTTAACATTTAACTTTGAACTAACATGAGTAACTGGCACTTGTAGCTATTCTTTCAGTTCAGTAGGCACCGAATCACTTGATGCTTGCTTCTCAAACTGTTAATCCATGGGATGTAAATGAGAAAGCAGTAGTCTTTAACAAAATAAACCCACCACATTCTGGGCTTTATCCTGTCCAACAAAAGTTGTCACACACCATAAAACTGAGGTGTTTTTAGCTAATTTAGCACATCACTAAACCAAATACCCAAAGCTATATATCTCAGTTGCTGCTTTACTGAGCAACTGAGTAGAGATGCAATAGAGCTGAGAGTCAGTGATGCAGATCTATTCTTTTCATCCTGCGACATGCAACAGCATTCCACCTATACATCCAACCTATAGTATCTCTTCAGTTAATTTGGTAGGCAGAGTAGGTAGAAACACTCATTCATACAGCTAGTTAGGTTGCATAACCAAAGGGCAGTGTTAGCTGAAGGAAGGAAGGAAATTGAAAAGAAAAGGGAAAAAATCGAGCAAGTAGTGGAAGTGGCATAAAGCATCTCAACAAGCCTAGGTTTAAAATGCTCTCATAGGAGTTCCCTTTTCTTTTTCTGCTTAGGCAAATCTCTCAGCATGATGTCAATGATAACTTTCTTCCCCTACTGAACATATATCACTCATTTAATTGTGGAAAATCTCCTCTCTGTTCAACAGTTTACACAGGATTTCCCAGATGTAAGAGTTACGATCATGCAATTTGACTCTTAAATGTAGATTTGGTATCCATGGGACTTCACATCTAGCTTAGCACTCTGCTATGCATTTAGAGAAAATGTTCTCTGCTTTGTGCTTTAGCAGTAATAACAATGGCTACAATTTCTAAGCAGAATGAAAATCTGGACTATTCATCTATTATCAGCCAAAATCATTCCTCTTGCTTTAGTAGATCCTACTTTTCTCCTCTTTTACAACCTTATTCTATTAGAAATTGATGATAATTCTGGAAGACAGGGAAAAATCATAACTCCATCCTGCCAAGCCTAGAAAAAGTAAAACAATTTTAATATTTAGTACAACCTCCGCTAACATGTCAAATAAACCCAACGCATATTTTTGTGATCAGGATCTTCTAGGTTGGGAAATATATTCCAATATAAAGAGGAGAAGTAAATTTGCTTGAATTTCAGGTACCTGAAATACATTTAGCCATTCACCATTCTGTATGAGTCACCTAAATCATCATATACACTTACAAAACTCTTTGACTGAGCAAATGACTACTATCAGTCTCTATCCTGTTTGACAGGTGAAAATTTTCACTCTATCTGAGCTGTGCAATAGAAAGACAGCACTAATTAAAAGAAAGATTCTGGGAAACATCACATGACCATAGCTAATGACCTGTTCAGCCTGTATTATTTCCCGGTTGCCTGCAAAGGTATTGAATAACAGAACTCTGTCTTTTTAAAACCAGTTGCTAGTTTGGACCTCAATGACTTTTTGATTCTTCTCTCCACAAATTTTGGTCAGTGTCACCTACTATCCACGGTAGGAGATGTAGCATTGCGGCATGTCCAACATCTCTTGTCTGGGGGCAGCCCCTGCTTTCATAGCATGGACAATTCATCCAACTTTCTTCTTTCTTATCAGTCTGAGGAGGGATGGCAGTCACTCTCCTTCCTTATCCATGGTTTTCTACTTTGACATTCTTGGTATTAGTCAAAAAAGAAAGAGCATACTGCTTATCAGACAGCAGTTCCTGACAGATAGATGAGCAGGTTCTCTTTTCCAAGATTTGTATCAAAAATATTAAAACTCAAGGACTGATAAAATAAATGCTTCTTTGTGCAGCACACAGTTAGTATGAGACATCCACTTTCACAAGTGAGTTCAGGCAAACAACTCTGCAAAATTTAATTGGGGTCTGGCCTTTTCTGAATCACAAGATAAATCGATAACGCCAACAAATAAGATTAGAAAGTGTGAAAACCTCAAGATGTCTAGCTAGTAATTATCACACTGTTCTCTTGCTGGGGGCTGACTGTGTCATCTGAGAGGGGCAGTGCTTGTCCTTGCTTGAAGAGGACACCATGGTTGACTCAAGCTGACTGCTCCTACGCTACTGGCAAATCTTTTATTTAGATTGCTATCACACTAAGTCTCCTAGACATAATCAGGACCAGTTGTTCTAAGTACACAAACTATTCAAGAGCCCTTATGCTTAAATATTTCTTATTTAAAATACTAGAAAATAGGATTTCACACTGGGACTTTCCATTCTTTTCATTACATCTCCAAAGGGTAGCACAAAGCATGTTCCCAAAAAAACTAACAAAAGCATTATCATAACTTTGTCAAATAGAGGTTGGAAATAAAACTGGTTGCTTTACTCGGTTTAGGAATAGGCAATTAGTGTTTAAGCATGGGCAATTAGTCTTTGCGTTTCTTCAAAGCTATTGCATTGGGTTCTTTTCTTTCATTTAATCATTTAATCATTTGGAAGTCACCACATACAGAACTAAGACAAGCAATGCATTATGAAGATTCCTCACATGGAGAGAAGTATTTATAATTAATTTGTTCCAAAACAATAAATATGTTGCCAAAATTTATTTGCCAAAAATACCTAGTATCTTCCTCTACACTGCTGTGCATAGCAGATGCATACATAGCAGATACATAAGCTAAACCGTACCAACCAGCTCAGTGTCCCAAAGAACTGGACATTTTTTCCTACCCTTGCCAGAATAGGAATTCTTGTGTATTTAGGCTTAATTCCAAACTGTTTGGGTTTGATGGATTTCCTTCTTCTCTTCCCTTCTGCCTTTCCCACTTTTTTTTTTCTTTTTAACATCTTGAAATGCTTCCCCAGCATAAAAAAAATCAAGACTCTTGTTCCTCATTAGTAATTGCATTCAGATCAGGAAAAAAAATCAGGAAAAAAAAAAAAAAAAAAAGGAAAAATAATCAGACACTTGATATTATGCTAATTCAGGTCCCATTTGTAAGTTCCTGCTATTGGATGGTGGAAGTTCTGCACCTAATTAAACAGCTTCATCTTATCCAGGAACAGGGGGGATTCTATCTCTTAATGGGCCAAAGTTTAGATTTTGTTTTGTAACTCAGGAAGCCTTGCAGATGTACTGAAGGGACAGTATAAAGTTAAAGTACGAAAGACATGTACTTTATGACTTTATTCCCTATTTTCTTGAGAAAGCTTCAGGGACTAGATTCAAAGAGAAGCTGGAGAGTATGCACAGAAGGAATGACATGCTGTAGAGCACTCTGACTACTACTATTGTGGAGTTCCACAATATTGTGGAGTTTAGAAAATGGAGGCAGTTATTACTGAGCTTTCACTATTATAAGTAAAAATAATATTTTGTAGAAATAGTTTGCAAAGTAGAGTTACACATAGCATAGAGTAAAAATCATGTCAGGTGACTTGGCTGCATTCCCTTACAATTTAGTAACTCCGGGTGCCTGATTTTGGGTAACTACACCTTTGCAGTTATCTTTCAGTGTGGGGTAACATGAGGATATGTTCTACTTTTTTTTGCTGGATACCCTCAGCAAGATTGTTATTCATATCTATATATCTCAGGATATTTTGGGTAGTACAATACTTTTTTTTTGTTCTCAGTGTGACATACAGCATAAAAAACAAAGAATTACCTGTAGAGTTACTATAATACATACATGTATCTTACTATATTATTTATGTCAATGAAAAAAGATTAATGCTGAAAATCTGAAAGTGAAAGGGGTTTCATTTTCCAGTAGCAGATAGTATTTGGTATGCTTAAGTAAAGTCTGCAGGATATTTTTCTATCTTCACAAGTTCTCACTAGATTTTAAAGGGTGGTGGCTTATTAAAGAGGTTGGCTGGCTGCCTGAATTATGAAAATATAGCTTGTTATTTTTTAACACTGAGGCTGAAATTTTAAGACCTCTACTGCTTGTTTCTTATGTTCTGATACTTACAGGTTGGTTGAATTCTCCTATCAGTGAAGGAAAAAGCATTCACCAACTTACTTGCTGCTCAGGCAACGTCTCAATGAATATGAAGCGCCTCCTCCACAAGTGCGTGAACATTCACTCCACGAACCCCAGGCATCCCACAGTGAGTCTCGATCTTCCTCAGAGCGAGCTGTTCTGGAGCTCTGAGGAGAGGGAGATAAAAAAAAATCAGGAGAAAAACAAATATATATATATATACTGTAGCTAGCTTAACACTTCTTTATAATGAATATCATTTTGGTCTTGAAAGCTCCAAACAAATCTGTTGGCCACTGGCGTTCTAACTGATTGGCAACAAACGGTTCTTGCAGTTAGGGGTATTGCGGAAGCTGCTTTTATTCTTTGACTATGACACTCTACCTCAGCTTGAGCCTGGTGATGATTATTACAGAAGAGTCCTTTGAACAACAGTGAAAAAATGGCCTTTTCCTAGTTACAAGGAAGTAGTATGGTAAACCTTAGAAATTGTGCTTTGATGTTTTGTTGCTGTGCTAGAAATGAAAATGAAACAACATGGAACAGAGACTGTGAACACATAACCTTAATGCACTTGCCATAGGGAACTATCCAAAGATCTCCTATGAAGCTCTTTGGATAGAGATTTCCAAGCCATTTTATACATAGTATTTTTTATTCTAAAACAGGAAGTGCAAACTACCTGAAGAACTGAACTCCTCACATGCCAGGTCAAGATCCACACAGAGTAGATCTCAAGTTATAGAGAAGCAGCGCTGTTCGATAGTCCTCAGGAAGAATCACCTCTGTTGGGATTAACCCATAAAAATAGAGCAATATCTACTGCAAATAATACAGTCACACTAATTTTCAACAGTTCATTTTCGTTTATGCATCTGCACCTCACGAGCATTGGGCTTTAAGGACACAAATGAATCAAACATTTGGACAGGTATCTTCCCTTATAGATAAGGTTGTTTTGCTGTAGGAACTTGAATAACCTAGCATGCAAAGGTACATGGAAAATGCTGTCATAAAAAATCTGCCTAGTGCTGTGGGCCACCACCCAGTGAATATTCTTTCTATTTGGAATAAGACAGAAGACAAGTACATGAGGATAGATTTTGCTTTGTACCTTCTGCAAAGAAAAATCAGCAGGCATCACTGCTAATGTGTTGAAGGAATCAATGTCAGCTGTCAACACTGAGGAACTACTCTGGGACACTGACATCAACACAGAAATAATTTCATCTTCAGTGCAGCTGAGTAAAACTTTTGTAATGCAATCCAAAACCCAGCAAAATATTCCAGTGTTGAATACTGTTATTCACAGGCAAAACAAAAAGAACTGTTGATGATGGTTTAGGGCTGTGAACAGTTTCAGTATGCATCCGCTTAAGGAAGGTACTCAATTTGTGAAAGACAACCAAGGTCCAAAATCAAAGAGTCTGTGTCTATAAAGTGAAGCACCAAGTCTGGCAGCTCAGCATATAAAAAGTGTGTCAACTGGAATTTATCACAGTAAGAGGTAGATAATGAGGCTTTTTTTTTTTTTTCTTAAGGAACCAAGAATGTATTAAATGTTTTAGCTATTAATGCTCAGAGAATTTTCTAATATGTAAATAATTTAATTCTATAAAATTTTGCAAGTGTTTTGCAGTTTATCCAATAGCGTCATCTATGATATTGAATAAACAGCTGGGAACAAGACTCACTAAAATGAAGGCCCATCATTTTTTTAAGCTGCACTCAACTCAGATTAGCTCATGGATCAGCATACTCAGCTTGATAGAGTAATTTTATTGTTATTTTCATTCTAAAGGCCTGATATTACTCTCAGATACACTGGCGCAATAAATCAGGAGTTACTACATGATGGTGTTAAACCAGCCTAAGTGAGATCAGGACCATATCACAAACTGGCCCACATCTAAAGAGAAATTATTTCAAGAAGAGAAATTAAGATTTTCAGGCCATCTATCTAACCAGTTCCTATTCCTTCCCTCTCTTCCCATTATTTTTTCTTTGTCATAGCACAGTCCAAACCTAATCTTGAAAAATAAGTCAGTCTTTTAATGGAATGAGGGAAAAAAGGGAAGGATTTCCCTCTCTACAGAAACACCAAAATGCCTGTCTTTTGAAAGGAAGAGCTTGGCGAGTGGCAATGGTCAGGTGCATGGCTAAGGTGTAACCACACACCACCACTGTCCACACAATGGACCCTCCTGGCATTTCACAATGGAAATCTAGTGTGTTCCTCTTGCTGTTGCTCATGAGCTCTTTAAAGGCAGGGTTGACCCTTTTTAAAACGGGGGTGTGCATTTTAAAAGGTAATTACACAAATGCCACTTAAAAAGAGTTGAGGCTTTTGGTCCTCCTAACAACAAACAGGGCCAACCCTCCTTTTGAAAGACCTTTGGGATGTGGTCCAGAGCATGCTGAGGTCAAACTCACAGTGAGTTAACGGGTTCCAGGACAAGAATTAGGACTAGTGAAAGGCTGAAAAAGGGCCCCAGCACAATTCTTGGAAGTTTTCTCTCAATTAATCAAATAAATCCTGTGAATAAGAAAGAACTCAAGGCAACTACCCAGAAGGCAAGCTTTCCTCAAATAGCTCTCCTGAAGTATTTCCACTGACTCTGCTGCTCTGTTTATTCACCAAGTGTAAATTTGCAGCCATGAGAAATAGTGTGGCAATCCTATGGTGACCCCATTTTAAGTCAGATTCATGGTATGCAGTTTCAAAGGGCATTTTAAACCCTTGCAGCACTTCCTTCTGCAGAAGAGGTTATGAAGATTACAGCATAGTTTAGATGAGTAACTGAATCAGTTTAAATTGCTGTAACATTCAGTATGATGTAATTTTGCTTTGGATCTACATGTAGAAAAAATAGACTGAATTAATTTAGTCTAGTGAGATATAATACTGGGTTGTATAATGAGTGTATCACAATGACTGGACATTCTCAGATTCTTTCTTATCTATACTGAAATTTAGCACGATTTAATTTCAATTCAACATTGTATTTGCAAGGCATAAATGTAAAAGTTAAAGTGAGATAAGTGATCAAACTGACTATGGCCAATCCCAACAGCTGCAAAAGATCACAAATACAACAGTTTCACAGATGTGTTCCATCCTCTAGATAAAATCTTATTAGCATTTACACGTGAGATAAGAGTAGTGACATGCCAGCTTACAAAGGTTATTTCATCTGGCTGCTTCTCGAAGGGTATTTTTATAAAATAAAAACGTGAGTCTGAACTTTTATTTTGTTGAAATGAATATGTGTGTCTGTACTTTTAGTTTATAAGGAAACAAATATTTTCAAACTGTAAGTGGATGCATGTCCTGATTTTTCAGTACTGGTGGAAAGCCCAGTATGAAGCATAATTAAAAAGGGTTGCAAGGTAAAGTCGCACGAACACAGTGCTCTTACCTCACCACAAATTTTAACATCAATACTGCTAGACATTCTAAAGGGTCCAAATTTTCTGAGATAAATTGTACTCCCACCCAGAGGAGAACCATGTGCCTGTTATTTGCATTCCAAGATTTGTTATAAAACCTATATATTTCCAGAAAGCATGTGATTTCAGGCTAGAACAGACTCCAAGTTTTCTTTTAACAAGTGGAATAAACATAATTCATTTCAACTCCATCCATGTTTTATGTTAAAGAAAGTAGAGTGTTTTTCCCTTCTGTGAACTGTACAGTTAAGACTGAAACTCTAGCAAGGCCTGAAAGACTGTTTTAAATCTGAAATAACTTCAGGTCTACTGAAGGTTTAACAAATATATGCAGTTAATAGCTAAGAATTCACTCTGTAGAACATTTTCAAAAGTAGCTTACACCACTACCAATTTCTACACACTATCACTAAAGTGACCTAAACTGAATAAAACTGCATACAAAAATACTTGCCCACTGAACAGTGCAAGAATTGCTAGGTTAGTCTTTAAAGCCCTCCTGTTCCTGCCATAAAGAGCAAAGAAAGGAAAAAACAACAACAACAAAAAACAAAAATGAAAGTAAAGGGGAAATGTAATTCCAAAAAAGGAAGAGGTAAAACTGCCACAGAGTGAGGCTTCCTTTAGCTAACACCAACCTCTTTCTTAGAAACAGTCTTTAAATCTCTGCCAGCTGCTCTCCTGCAGGTCACTATTTCCAGGATACCAGCATACGCCAAAGGAGCAGGATGCAGAAGCACATCCTGGCTCATTGCACCACCCCACAGATATCAAATGAATTCTCCCCATTTTGTCTACATTTGGTGAATCTCAGTTTGAGCTTCCCAGGAAATACTCACTTTTTTTTGTCCATGCAAAACTCAATATGTCCCAGTATCTACAGCACTGATAGCAGAAATGTCACTTCGTACAAGCAATAGGGTTATAAACACCAAACATAAAGTCTGCTGGCACTAATCACATTCAACGCTATCTTTATACCCCATTACATGCTTCACCTCAGGCTGATCCTGTAACTATCACCAAACACAACCGCTCCAGAGAGAAAAAAAAAAAAGGAAAATGAGTATTTTTGAATAATTTCTTGAATTTCAAGACAGAAAGGTATCAGTGTGGATAGGGTATTCAGCTGAAAATACAAATAAGACATAGGTTTTAAACTCTAAGCTGAAAAATATCCTAAAAGATAAATAGAAATAGTTTGAAATTGTCGAAGAAGCCTAGAATAGTGTGAGTTATCCTTTTTTTATCCTCAAAAAATCCAGTTTAAATGTTTAACAGTAATTTCTGAATTTATCAAAGAGTTCTCAAGATTCGTGTTGTATTTAACTGGTCAGATAGATCCTTCCTAGCCTCCCTCCTAGCACACAGAAGACAAAAACCACTTAAACCAGCTGGAATAATGTGTGAAAAACATGATAAGTGTCACATATCCTTAAATCACAACAGCTGCCAGGCCATTCTAGAGCTGCATCGCTGATGAGAGAACCACACTTCTTTTAAAAGCATGGGTGTACACACACATACAGATACGCCAAGGCAGAAACAGAAAAAGTAGCAGGATCTCTTTTAATGTCTAACTATAAAAGAAATTCTACCCTAATATAAAAGAAAAGAAAAGAAAAGAAAAGAAAAGAAAAGAAAAGAAAAGAAAAGAAAAGAAAAGAAAAGAAAAGAAAAGAAAAGAAAAGAAAAGAAAATGAAAAAAAACCTTAGC